AGACTTGCCTCGAGGGCACACGCCACGTGCCACGAAGAGATGCAGGGGGGAATCGCCGGCTGGAGGTAGAGCGTCGCCTGGAGCTGGAGAGAGAGAGGAGGAGGAAGAGGTCGCCTGGGGTGCACCGTAGTGCTGCTGCTGCTCATGCTGCTGCGAGGTGTCAAAGGCCTCGTAGGCTCGCGGTTGTTGGGCGTCCGGTCCGGCAGCAGAAGGATAGTGTGGTACGTTGCTCACTTCTTGCTGCTGGTAGAGCCCTTCGCCGTCGGGCACTTGGTGGAAACCGTATCCCCCGCCGGCGGCGCTGCCGTAAGGACCTCCGCCATGGTCCACTCCGTGAGCCGCGAGCCCGTACCCGTAGCCTGCCTCAGGAGGTGGTGGGGTCCAGCTGGGTGTAGATACGGGCGCTGACGTGGCCTCCCATCCCGAAGTGATGTCGCCGCCTGATGGTTCTCCACCTCCCAGGGCGAAATGAGCCGGAAAATAGGGCCGCGGTACGTTAGCAATCTGAGCGGGAGGAACGTTGGGCGGCGGATAATGACCACCACGGCCGCCCACCTGACGACCTCGGCTCTCCGGGGGGGAAGGGCCGTATCCGCCATTCCCACGCCCCCCAGAATTGCGCCCCTGCAGCTGTCCTCCAGTTCCGGATCCTTGCCCACGCGGCGGTCCCGGCAGCGCGGGAGAGTGGCCCCGACTCCAGCCCGCACCTTGCTCGTTTTGGTACGGCTGCTGTCGATATGGGCCACCAACCATCCGCCCCGAGTCTTGGGCTCCGCCTCGAGGGAAGACCGATGCCTGGGCCTCCCGCCTCCCGCTCGTGTACGCGCAGAACTCGTTCTAGTGAGCGAGGAATTCGTTGCGTAACTTGTGACATTCGGAGGTCTCGTGGGTGCTGTTGGGGCGGTGCAGCTTGCAGAAGTGCGATGGTTGCTGCTGATGTGACTGCACCGACCTTTGTGGTTGCTGGAGTCGATCTCCGCCTTGCTCCGATCCTGCAGCGGCTGGTTTCCTCGCCTCGCCACCCCGGCCCACGCCGGCAGCGACGAGGGCGTGCCTCATCTCTTCCTTCCCCTCTCCGGCTCTCCGCTCGTACCTCAGCTCGTGCTCTCCCAACCTCAGCATCTCCTGCATTGTAGCCCTCGACAACATCGAATCAAACAGAAGACGGTCTTTAGTTTTCTCAAACCTTGGGAGAAATCCCCGGACTATGTGCCTGCACATCGACTTTTCATCCCTGTTATCACCATTCGATCGAAGTCTCATCCACAGCGCAACTGCCCTACCGTAGAAGTCCATAAGACTCTCTCCTTGCCTCTGGCCTATGNTTGCTGGAGTCGATCTCCGCCTTGCTCCGATCCTGCAGCGGCTGGTTTCCTCGCCTCGCCACCCCGGCCCACGCCGGCAGCGACGAGGGCGTGCCTCATCGCTTCCTTCCCCTCTCCAGCTCTCCGCTCGTACCTCAGCTCGTGCTCTTCCACATCGAATCAAACAGAAGACGGTCTTTAGTTTTCTCAAACCTTGGGAGAAATCCCCGGACTATGTGCCTGCACATCGACTTTTCATCCCTGTTATCACCATTCGATCGAAGTCTCATCCACAGCGCAACTGCCCTACCGTAGAAGTCCATAAGACTCTCTCCTTGCCTCTGGCCTATGACGTTCCATGCGTCGTCAAGAGTTTGTCGCTCCTGACTCTTGTCCTGGCTGTATTGTTCGAGAAACACGCGGTACCCTGCTTGAGGTGATTCTGATGCCAAGATTTGGGCTTGTACGGGTTGTGCTGTGATCTTAGCTAGCATAAACGTCCAAATCTTCCTGGATTGCTTCACTCTCTCCTCTCCGAACGTGCTGCTCAACCAATTCAAATCCACACCAGCTGCACCAAAAGGGACCTCTGAACTCCTCATCACACCAGCAAGTCCCTCACTCTCCAGCCACGCTTCACAAGCACTCGTGAACACTCGCAATGCAACTTCGATCGATCTGTTCTTCAGATAGTCATCACTTCATGCTGGTACATCAGTCTTTTCTCTCTGCCTCAGTTCTAAGATCTGGTTGCTAGACGTGCCTGAGTGGGCACGGTGCCCCTGGTCATGAGTTGATGTCGCGAAGGCCTGCTTGAAGTGGTCAACCAGCTCACGCATCGCGTCGCGCTGATCTTCCCCTCCTGCCGCTCGCGCACCCCCTCGGTCTCGTGCATCGTTGACGAAGAAAGAATCGCTCCATCCTCCGTCCGCGACGCCTTCCCCGGGGGGAGGGACAGCCTGACCAGATCCCCCCGGAGGTTGTCACCCGTCGCCGCCCGGCATGTTGCGCGCTTAGACACGGCGGCCACTCTCTTGATCGTTACGCTAGCGTGTTGAGTAGCCTTGTGCGTCGGTGCCTTGGCGCGCGGGGTCCCTTGGTTGGGAAATAAGAGAGCCAGCGGCGCGGTAGCCGCCAACGGTACAGTGTAGGAACTATGATGGGCGTGACAGCCTTCTACTTTGGGATGGAGCGTGATAGCTCGGGTATGGTATCTCTGGATGTGGCGTGGAAGCCTGGTGACGTGATAGTCGTGGTGTATATGTATCAGTAAGGACGTGGATGTCCGGAAGGCGTGATAGCCGGGTGGCGTGACAGCCAGGATTGGCGTGGAAGTCGTGGCGTGATAGCCGTGGTAGCGTGATAGCCGGGGAAAAGGGACTTGATTACACACAGGAAGGAGGAAAAAAAGCAAACAAAACACAAGTGAGAAACCACAACGCACAATCACCATATCCGCTGTAGACACACACATACCCCCACCCTCAATCCTGTAATATACGGCAAAATTGGTACCATCAAATCGAATCCAAAGCAATNGGTAGCGTGATAGCCGGGGAAAAGGGACTTGATTACACACAGGAAGGAGGAAAAAAAGCAAACAAAACACAAGTGAGAAACCACAACGCACAATCACCATATCCGCTGTAGACACACACATACCCCCACCCTCAATCCTGTAATATACGGCAAAATTGGTACCATCAAATCGAATCCAAAGCAATTGCTGAACCCCCAAACTCCCCGCTCCATCTGCTCGGAAATTTCTTGCTTGCAATATTATGTCGATGCTGTGAGTACGTCTAACAGTGTCATTCCGCGACGTAGATGCCCGCGACGTCGCTCGCCCCGTGCACGGGTCTGACCCATTTCCCGAACAAGGCAAGATTTCCAGCCTGGCATTATCACTGGGGCCGAGACAAGAGACGAGGAACCAGAAACGGCAGACACGAACGACGGACCGGACGAAGAACCGCCCGCGGTGCGCAAAAGCGGTCGCACGACAAAGCCGCGGGACCGTCTGAGCCTGTTTACGACGGAGCAGGTGTTTGAAACAGAATACGCACTGGTGATCGGAGGTGAGATCGGGACCCTTGGTCAAGGNGGCATTATCACTGGGGCCGAGACAAGAGACGACGAACCAGAAACGGCAGACACGAACGACGGACCGGACGAAGAACCGCCCGCGGTGCGCAAAAGCGGTCGCACGACAAAGCCGCGGGACCGTCTGAGCCTGTTTACGACGGAGCAGGTGTTTGAAACAGAATACGCACTGGTGATCGGAGGTGAGATCGGGACCCTTGGTCAAGGGATACCTGGCCAACTAGGATACATGCCCGCCCATCCACGGAACTACCACGCAGCGGTCAACGGACCAGATGCCGTTGGATGGATGAAAAGCATGGAGGAGAAGAATCGCTCCTTACTAGACCACGACGTTTATGAGTGGGTCGATCCCCCGCGCGATGCTCAAATCATCCCGTCAAAATACATCTACAAATGGAAGTACAACGAGGCCGGCATCGCTGTGCGACAGAAATCGAGAATCGTAGTGCAAGGATTTCACGAAGCTGAGACCGGAACCGCCAATGCTGCACCGGTAGCGTCTCTCCAAGCCGTCCATCTGATAATTGCGCATGCTGCCAAGAATGGACTTGTTCTTCGCCAAGCCGACATCAGGACGGCGTTCCTCCACGCGAGGATGGAACCGAGATCGAAACCAGTGTACGTCATTCCCCCGGAAGGATTCTCGTGCGAAAGCGAGAGAGCCAGGCAAGTCTGGAAGCTCAGAGCGTGGCTTTACGGGTTGGGTTTTTCCCCAAAAGGCTGGTGGGGCACTCCGCACGATTGTCTCCTGAAGATCGGATTTGTTGAGAGCACCGCTGAACCGTGCTTGTACATCCTGGACGACGGAGATGTGCTGCTTCTCGTTTATGTGGATGACATTCTGCTGACCGGGGAGAGCGAGAACAAAGTGCTGAGCATAGTAGATTAGTTGAATGAGCGTTTCGAAACGGTGGACCTGGGAGGAGCCAGGTTCCTGCTCGGTATGGGAATCAACCGAGACAGAGCCGCAGGGACAATTATTTGGAACAGGAAGCGTATACCAACGCAGTGTTGGACAAGTTCGGCATGGCCGACGCGCGTCCGACGACATCTCCGTCTGAGGCTGGACCGATGTCCGTCTTGGATGACGAGGTGTTGTCAGCGGTTAACTCGCAGCTTCCATATCAACCCAAGGACTAAGCACCTTGACGTAAAGTTTCACCACGTAAGGTCGCTGGTAGCTGATGGAGTCGTAGACGTGAAGCAAATATCGACGTCGCTTCAGAAAGCGGATATTTTTACAAAAGGGCTAAACCCGTCGGAGTTTCTCCGCGCCCGTGGCATGCTGTTAGGAGTTTGATCATCTCCCCTCTTCGTAATCAGACCTTATGTCTTGAGGGTTGGATGGTGTATGTGTGTGTATATGTTTAAAGAATATTCGGGAGATTTGTGTTGAAGGAAAACATTCGCTGCTGATGCAACGCAGCTGAGAAAGGCAGAAAAATTGATAATGAGTCAGAAGATAACATTGTTTCGAGAGGACATGGATATTGTTTCGAGAGGACAGTGAGAGAGAATTGGATCTGATGCATTGTTACTAGAATGGCGTAGTTCTTGAGAGGACATGTTGGAGTAATTGCAGTAGAAGAACGACTCTATTCAACTGCATTGGTTTATGCAGTATTGTGAAGGCGTTGCCAAGTCTGTACTGCAATTACTCCAACATGTCCTCTCAAGAACTACGTCATGCTAGTACAAATGCATCAGATCCAATTCTCTCTCGCATCACATGCTAGCTACCTTGTAGCCATAGCTGAAGGAATAGCTGCACAGCGACTGCAGTGACAGTGCTGTTGCCTCAACAGGTACTTGTGCCAGGAGGTGTGAACTTGGATCTAGACTACGGGCCTATGTTCGAGGCGCTATTAAGCGTCGGTGAACCGGCAAAAGAACTGAAAGGAACCACAACCCCCGCCGAACACTCGGATTGGGAAGGCCGAGTAATCCGTATACCTTCCTGAAAAAACACGAAATACAAGTGGCCACGGTCTAGTCGCCGTAGAGATCATGAGGATGGTGAAGAAGCAGGGAGGATGGAAGCAGAAACTGTGGAAGGTAGACAAGTTGGAGCTGCTGCTGTTTGGGATTCCAAGGGACATGACGAGGATAGGGTTCAAGAACTGTTGTGACAGGGAGGGACTGCACTGCCTAGCAAGGAGACAAGTAGGCAGAGAGCATGAACACGTCCGGGTGAAATTGACCAAGGGAGACAGCCAAGAGTGCTTAGGGGTTGGAATCGAGAAGCTGTCGAACTACGTAAGAAAGTTTGGATGGAGGGTTTGCATCGCAAACATGATAGAAACAGAGAAGGTAAAGAGACAAGAGGCGAGGGCGACGGAGGCGAAGAAAAGACCAAGCGGGGGAGGCGAGCAGGCAAGTCAGAAGAAGTTCGAGAAGAAGCGGAAGGCGAACGATGGTGTGCGCAAAATCTCCAATAGGGAAAAGCACAAGCTGAGCGTCGGGTCGTGGAACGTGTGCGGGTTCGCGAGGAGTGAGCGCAAGCGGTTGGAAATAGTGGACCAAGTAGAACGACGCAATCTAGACGTGGCGGGGATTCAAGAGACGTGGGAATCGAAGGATGGTGACGTGGTAAGCAAACTAGGGAAATACCGGTGGGTAGGGAAGGCAAGAAAGGGCTTAGACCCGAAGAAAAGGGGGGAGGGGGGAGTCGGATTCCTGGTCAAGGAACACTTGTTTGACGTGGT